TTGCCCTGTCCGACGTCTCCCTTCACCCACTTTTCGGTTGTCTGTCCCCCAGGGAGGAGGTCACATATAGTTCCTTGTAATCCTTGTTACATTTAAAAGGACACGAGTGGAAACTGAGGGGTTAATCAACTTTTGGTGCCCTGCTAATTGTAGCTGGGATTAAGTAGGCACTTGTATAGAGGAGGAGGAGGTGTGGAGTAAGAAACACTTTGCTCTAATAAATTTAGGAAAAGGGGCTGTTCCCACTGTTACCAAAATAGCAGAAAGCCATCACAGGGCCCTTTAGAGAAGTGTGCATACTGGGAGGCCTCAGATAACATTTGTAAACTCAAACTAGCCAATTGACACGCAGAGGTACCCAGCGAGTGGCCTGCCATTCCGTTGGGCTCTCTTGAATTCTGCCCCTGAAGTTAAACCTGTTCCCTGTCTTCTGTTCCCAGTTTCAACTCTGCAAGCGCCATATTCCCATGTTAGGAAACCTTCAGGTTAGATAGATTTGAATGTCCAAGCAAGTTTTGTTTTTTTATTATTGAATAGGTACTTTCCAAAGAAACTTCATTTTACATTCAAACCCACATCCAAATCTAACATATTTCACCCACGGTGCCCAACTGGCCGTTCAAGGTGCTGGTGTTTTTCATTTCACCTCCAGTACTGCATCAGACCGGATTTCCTGGTCCCTTACACATAACTGCTGGTCAGACAGGTCAGCAGTTCAAACCCACCAGCCACTCCGTGGGGACAAAGATCAGGCAGTCGGCTTCTGTGAAGATTGAACTCACTACCATTAAGGCAATTCTGACTCATGGTGGCCCCAGTGGACAGGGTGGACTCTTCGCAGAGTAGAAAGCCTCATCTTTCTCCCGAAGAGCTACGGGTGGTTTCAGACTGTGAGCCTCCCAGCTCACCGCAGCACCGCATCACTGGTCCCAGGCAGTTGCCTTCTGTCCTGCAGGTTGGCTGTGAGTTGGAATCCACTTGACCGGCAACACGTTTTGGTGCCGGGACAGACAAGACTATCACCAGGCTGTTCTTCGGCTGCCTTTTGATACTAGTCGAGTTTGTAACTGCTTTATGGCTGCCATCCTGGGCCTTAGATGTGCATCGTGCTGAATGTGGCAGTCTCTTTCTGCCTTCTCCCTCTCCTGGCTGAGTTCTCGCCTCGATGAGGGCTTCCAGTTGGTGCGCCTCAAAGGTCCAGAACCATCTCGGAACAGGACTTCTTGGATCCGCACTGGGTCGCAGGAGGTGATGGACACATCTTTGGTCCTTGAATGTCTGTTTTGTCTTTGAGATGTGCCTCCTCCCTCCACTGGACTGCAGGGGGGTGGGTGTGCGATTGACCTTGTGGAGCAAGGGCTTGGATTCCCTCATTTTTCCCCTCTTTCCAGAACCCTGCCATTCACAGTCTGAATGTTGGGGTGAGTCAGAATCTACTCTGGCGATGGGTTTGTGTTGAGCTTTCTTCTGCCCCTTGGGGTACAGAGCCTTCATCTACATGAGGAATGGTTCTTCAATTCTGGGCCCCAGGCAAAGTCAGAGGAAGGACCACCTCTGGTGGGGGCTGGATCCCCTAGTCGCTCACGGGCTCACTTCTGCCTCTGCTGTCTTCTGGACTCTTGGGGAATCTGATGAATTAGTGGCCTTCTCCGAGAAAGGAGCTCTTGAGTGTGGCCTAAAGGGCTTCATCTGCTCCGAGTGGGTGTTTGGGAAGTGTGTAGGGCCTGGATTTTTCCTAACCATCACACCAGCCTTTGAGCCAAGAGAAAGCCAAAAGCCTCCTTGCTTGTGGTTCCTTAGGACTGGGCCGTGACTTCTCTGAGCATGACTTCTCTCTTTAGATCTGTAAGATAACCAAATGGACAGACTAGGGCCACCTAAAACTTGGCCCACGGAAGCATGCTGAGGCCACGTGTTCTGAAGCGTCCTCCTCTTTGCAGGTGAACGAGCTCAAGGAGAAGGGCAACAAGGCCCTGAGCGCCGGGAACATCGAGGACGCGCTGCAGTGCTACTCGGAAGCCATCAAACTAGACCCACAGAACCATGTGCTCTACAGCAACCGGTCCGCCGCCTACGCCAAGAAAGGGGACTACCAGAAGGCCTACGAAGACGGCTGCAAGACTGTCGACCTGAAGCCCGACTGGGCCAAGGTAAGCTGTGGCACTCGGCCTGTTGGGCACCTCCTTTCCCCCGTCAGACACGCGCCTCAGCGATCGAGTCAGATCTAGGGCACACTTGTCTCTATCACTAAGAAATGGCTGCCAAAGACACCGACACTATCAGCCCGAGGGGCAGGGGCTGGGGGTGCGTGCAGTGTGCGTAGCTGGCATTGTACTGAATCAGCTTGTGCTGTGCTCGGTCCTCCTTGTTTACCCCTTGGCCTCATGGTGCATCGTCTGGGTCGCCTCACAGCCCCAAACGCAGCCTGTCCAATGGAGTCATTTCCGATCCCTAACAGCGTGACAGGACAGCGTAGACCTGCCCTGGGGTTTACCCAGTGGCACATCTTTAGGAAGCAGATGCCCTCGGCTTTCTCCTGAGGAGCAGCTGGCAGGTTCACAGCACCACATGCCACCTGCAGGGCTCCTCAGCTCCCTTCCCTTCCGTGTCTTTGCTGCTTGAAGGGCTATTCGAGGAAAGCGGCTGCTCTGGAGTTCTTAAACCGGTTTGAGGAGGCCAAGCGCACCTACGAGGAGGGTTTAAAACATGAGGCCAATAACCCTCAGCTCAAGGAGGGCCTGCAGAACATGGAGGCCCGGCTGGCAGGTAGGTACCACGTGACCCAGGGGGCTAGTAGGCTCTTGAGCATGGTCCCATGGGTAAACCCCTCTCCCAACACCTCTCTCTCTGGTTTGGCACAGAGAGGAAGTTCATGAACCCTTTCAACATGCCCAACCTGTACCAAAAACTGGAGGGGGATCCCAGGACGAGGTCCCTGCTCAGTGATCCTTCCTACCGGGAGCTGATAGAGCAGCTCCGGAACAAGCCCTCCGACCTGGGCACGTAAGTTGAGGCGTGCACGCGTGCGCACTGCCTAGGACTCTGTCCTGGCTTTGTCCCCACAGGGTGAGGTGCCCGCTGGTGGTTTATTTGGGGACGAGGTCGGGGAGGGCATAAGTGAGTGACCTTCTGGAGCGTGCTCTTACCTGCGTGGGCCTCCTCCCGACTCTCCCATGGGCTGTGATCCAGCACACATACTGCGTGTGCACTGACCTGATGGAGGTCACCGGGCGGGCGTCATGGGTCTCGGGATCCTGTTCTGGGACCGTCACTATCTTGGCCCACACAGTAGCAGGTTCCTGCAGTCACTTGGTCCTATGGGTCTGCTGTTAGGGGAGACATCTGACACACTGTGCGCTTTGCTGAGGCGGGTTTGGAAAGGGAGGGGCTCCATTCCCAGGTTGTACCTCCTGGGCAGCACAGTGTCCCTGCCGAGAGTTTTGAAAAGTGAGAGTTCTGTGAGTGAGAGCCTGAGCCTTAGCCAGCTTGCTTGCTCGTCAATACTCTAGGAAACTGCAGGACCCGCGCGTCATGACCACGCTCAGTGTCCTTCTGGGCGTCGACCTGGGCAGCATGGAGGAAGATGAAGAGGTCACCACGCCCCCACCCCCGCCGCCTCCCAAAAAGGAGACCAAACCTGAGCCCATGGAAGAAGATCTCCCAGAGAATAAGAAGCAGGTCTCTTCCTTCCATTTAATTGCCAACAACCTAGCCACTGTTGGGGGTGGTGGGGGGAGCGGACGCAAGAGGACATCAGTAGGCCTGGCGTGGCTGTGTCCCCCGTCCCCCGTCCCCCCCCCCATGTGTATCAAACATTCCGAGGCTTCTTAGGGAAAGAGTATCGTTCCTTACACAGTCACACAGGCTGACTCCACGTCAGTCTTAACCTGAGGTCTCCGGCATGCTGGCCAGGCTGCTCGTGCACGTAGGCCTGCTTTGTCAGCCTGTCGCTGGGGGAGGAACTTCACTGACGGTCCTGGGAGGCCCGCTTGGTCTTTCTCTTGCTTCCTTGGAGTCCAAGTAGCCTCCCTCTTTGCAGCACAAAGTAAGGTGGTTCGTTCGGCCAGAAGTCCGCCTCTTAGGAGATTTGCAAGGATTTGGACTTCTCAGAGACCCAGCAGTGGGAGTTAGTCTCCTCGGCCACCAGGGACAGCCAGCGTACTTAGTCCCTGGCCCTGTCCAGGCGGTCCAGAGGAACCTGGCTCTTCGGTGTTGGGGCTCCCACTTCCCCCTGGACATGGCAGTCAGTTGAAAGTTTGTCCACTTGGCGAAGAGTGGGGCTCCTGTGCCTGAACAATTGTGTATCCCTTCTTAGAAATGGGCAGAGCAGCTTATTGCCAAATCTAGTCCTTTTAACTGGGTGAGCGCGGGGTATGTCCAGGCTAGAAAAAGTCCCTCCATTGCCATGGTGATGACACCTACCATTGCCATGGCAGCCCCTTCTCTCCACTCTTCCCTCTGCTGGTCCCCGATGACCACCGAGACCCATGTGCTTCAGCCTCTGAACAGCCTCCTGCCCCTACCAGTTGCTTCTAGTTGAAGGGGCTTCACTTCCCCTGATGAGGCTCCTCTCTGACCAAGTTCCAGGAGCATGGGTAGCCGGGGGTGGGGGGTGGGGGTTCACCAGACGTAAGGATGAGGAATTCTCGGGGACACCTGTGACTTATAAAGGCTGACACACCGCTGCTCCGGAGGCAGGCCAGTTGCGTGCCCTGCCT